TGCGCTTGCCGGCTTTGGCGACGCACACGCTGCAGATGCGGTGATTCTCGTTGCCTACATCAACCACACTGCCGCAAATGCCGTGCAGTCGCCCGCAACATCCTCCCTGGCAGCCGTGACCATGAGGGTCTTGCGGCGTGGTGTCCTGTAGTTGGCACAGTTCACCTTCCGCACAGGGCATGGTACGCCCCTGTGTAGAGCTGTTCGGGTCTGCAGCAGCACGTGTACCCTATTTCTGTGTGTGGAGTCTATGTTTTCTGCCCTGGGTTGTGCGTGTGTGTGTTTCGCGCGTGCGGAGTACCGGCACTATTGGGGGTGACAGCAGTGCCGAACCGGCACTATATCGGGCATGCTTTCATTAGTGCCGGTCTGGCACTATTGAGAGCTCCGCCTGTGTGCAGAGATTTTACCGGCACTATACCGGGCATCTGGCACTATTCAACCGGCACTAAAAGGGTCCCTCGACTGTAGGCGGCACTCACTGCTGTTGCTGGTCTTTTTTACCACCTACCTGCGACACTGTCATGATTAATACGCACATACAAACATCACCGTTGCCACATTTTCACTGCATCAGAGAAGTACCGAAGAGAACCCGATAGGAATGATGGAGCAACTGGTGAAGGAGTGTGGCCCCAACAATGTTTAGTTTCAGATTCGGGGCGGGAGGGGGGGGGGGGGTGCGTACTCTTATGTTTTGCATGTGCCTTAGCGGTTAGGCCATTGACCGCGCGTCCTCGAGAGAACGGAGCATTGTTCCCACAGGATCGATCACCGATGGCCAATCGTTCCTTCCTTCTTTGCCAAAGGTGGCTCAAAAATGTCTTCCCTAGTCTATCTATCCTAACGATATCACTTCCTGCCTTTTCAAACCATTTCCTACTCCCCAGTACAGCTACCGTCCTCTCCTCTCTATTCCATGCCTCAAACATCTCCCTGTACCTCCCTAATGTTTTCCCCAGCTCAGTCATGTACACCTCCCTCTCCTTTTCGTACAACTGACATGGGGGGGGGAGGGGGGCGCACTAATGTTTTGCATGCCCTAGCGGTTAGACCATTGACCACGCGTCCTCGGGAGGACGGAGCAGCGTCTTTCCCACAGTAGGACCGATCAAACAGTATGGCCAATCGTTGTTCCTACTTCGTCACCAAAGTGGCTCAAGAACGTTCCCTGTAGCTTGTCTATTATCATCCTATCGATGATACGTCCCGCCTTTTCACCGCACTTCCTATTCCCGAATACAGCAACCCACCGTCTTCTCCTGACTATATTCCATGCCTCAAACATCTCCCTATACCTTCCTTCTACTGTTCCTCGCTCAGACATGTATGTATGTAGGTGGATTTTCCCTCTCCTGACATATCGTACGATAGACATTCCCCAATTACATGAACCCCGTCTTCGCAGTCGGGGCCGCATTCACACTTGAACTGAGGGGGGTGTACTCATAGTCGTGTATGCCGTAGTCTTTAGACCATTGACCTCGCATCCCTACAAAGCCGGGACGGAGCACGCCGGTTTCTCACCGGACCAGCCTCTCACATCACCAAGCACGAAGCGCCGTGAGGTATTCGGCGAGTCGCATGAAGGGTGCGCTGCATCCTGCTAAGGGTGTTCGGCATCTTGTGCTTACTTCCTTGCGTACGGATGACAGCTGCGTATGACTTGATATATTTTCTGGTGCTTTCACTTCCATTGTAAGCACAGTGTAGCTAATTGCCTCTAGGGCGCTTGACCAATTTAACACAACGTGGTGCGATCATCCCCTTTGCGCGGAGTGAGCTACTCAACCACCATTATGGCCAACGCAACAAAAAACAACAGAGGCAAAGAAAAAGAAGCGGCAATATCCTGGTTGCCGAGCTCACGAAGTGATCGGCTTGTTTTGCAACTTCAACGTCGTTTGCCCGCGACGAAAATCCAACCCCGATGGCAAACACCGAGGGGGGCGTTGACCGATTTTACTGCTGATGGTGTGATTAAACACGTTTTTTTTTTCCTCTTCGCGTCACGTTGAAACCCACCCAGAAATACCTGTCTGTGTCCTCTGAACGGGGCAATCGACGTACAAATAAGAACAAGAACCCCACTCATCCTGGGTAGATGCCTGCTCTCAACAAAAACTTGGAAAATAAGAGCGAACATGGGCTCAGTTTGAGGCAACCAATAAACGTCGAGCCTCGCGCAAAATAAGCGGTTCTTAAGCGGTGGCGCCATGTCCTCTTGCGTCGCTCCCGGGAGACAAGTGAATCTACCTTTCGAAGGGGAACCTTGTACAATCATATATATGCGGACACCGCCGGGTGTTGTTGTAGGGATGGTGATTTACTCTCGTCTACCGTGTCTGGTTTTTCTCTGTCTCCCTCTCTGTCTCCCTCTGTGCACCAGTATATGAGTATGCTACGGTCGGGCCGATCGCCCCGGTGGTCTCCAGCAGGTGGTATCCCGCACCTTCTAAACAGTGGCTAGGTCAGGGAGTCAGATCCCGGCGTGCCATCAAACGCACAAGCGACATTTTCCTTGCAAAGTGAGATTTTCTCTCGCTTCCGGGTGGTATACTCCACAACTGAAAGAATGCCGGTGCCAACCACGGCGGTGCCGACAATATCAGTGTCGGAACTGTCTCGTCGGGAGCTCTCCAAAAAAACGTGTCGTTTGACAAATATGTATATCCTCTTCCGTCGTAGAGTATAACTGCTTTAGAAATCGGTCCAGGGGGTGTGGTATCTTGTGTCACCTACGGTGCGCAGTGCGTGAATATAGTGGAACTTCGTAAACCTGCTAGACTGGCGTAGTGCCGTAGGTGGCATGAGATTCCGCACCCGTGTTATAACATTTTTGGAGGTCTAAAAATTGTCGCACGGGTGTGGTATTCTGTAGGGGGTGTGACAATGTGACCCCTGTGATTAACTGCACTCACAGGGCTCCACCCAGCAGGGTGTGTGATAACAAGGGGTGTGATAAAGATGGGGTGTAATGATGTCACCCATGGGGGATGAATTGAGCCAACACGACCCCACCTGCAGGGGGTGTGGTACCAAAGGGGCGTGATACAGATGGATGGGGTGTGACAATGTCACCCGTGGGATGAAGTGCACGACCAACTTACAGGGTGTGTGATAACGAGGGTGTGTGATAACCACGGGGTGTGATAACGTTACACGTATATATCATGTGCGGGCCTGAGCAGCACGGGAGGTGCCAAACACAGCAGGTGTTGTCACGGGAGTTCTACCAGTAGGTTCTGCTGCGCGGCCCTCGGCAGCACGGGCGGTGGCAGGCACAGCGGGTGCTGTGGGAGTCTCTGGGGCCACAGAAAAATATGACGTAAAAGGGCGTGGCGCCGCCGCTGGAGTCTGACTCACTGCAGGCTGATTCAGCGGTGTTGCGTGCTTTGTTCGTCTCCGCGGTGTAGTCGGCCGTCATAGCTCTAGCGCAGTGTTGGTGTGATATGGGGCTCCGTGGATATGTACTTGCGGCTCAACATGGGTGGTGTGGTATCTCCTGTGGAGGTGTGACATATCAGTGCTTTCCGGAGCAAATGTGGTATTCTGTACATTTTTCGCTAGGGGTGTGGTATGTTCTGTGGATCTAGTATCTCGTGTCACCTACGGTAGCCGGTTGGATTTCGATCATCTCTCTGTCGAAAACAAAATCACGTTTGTGGTGAGTCACAAACATTACAAGTAGGAGGGTACATAAAAATTAGTAACCTGTTGAGGCCTTGTAAACCCAAACATCCAGCCGTTTCCTCGACATCGAACAAGACATCCGCACCGAGCGAGTGTGGCTTTAAAGGTAAAATTCGTCGTCCTTTTGGGCTGTCGCTAAAGGAGATATCGAACATGCCTGTTAGTGCAACTCTGCGTTTCTCGCGGAGTAGGGTGGCATATGGGAACTAAATTAACTCAGGAGCCGATCGGTGGATGACCCTCTCCTGACTACCATGGACCACCGTAGTCCTTCCAGTACAGAAACGCAGGCATTCAGATCTTACACACCGTAGATACATGAACGTGCTTCTCTCTCACGGCCATACTTGGATCCCCAACTGCATACATACCCCCCCAGACGTATAATGACCAGATCGGATATCGCACCCAAATTGCGACAGACAATCAATCTCTTTAGATGTCCCCTTGGACTTGGATGATGGCGGCAGCATAATTCGTGCTGTCCACGACGAAGACGCTTTGGCTCTGCGTTAGGCGCACGTGGAACAAAGGGCCAACGACGCGGTAGTTTAGCTCCCAGCTTGCCACTTCTAATAGGGGCACAATCCCAACGGGGAACACCAAGAGCGAGACTCGAGTTCATGCCGGAACACCAAATTCTAAGATAGTAGGTGGTGGTTGACCAAAGTTGCCTGTCGTTCCTGTGATCCGAACCCCAGCAAGGCGAGATCAGCTGCTGCCTTGATCGAACTTCGCACAACAAGTGGTCATCAAAGAGTCGTGAGTGCCCCTCGAGTCGTACCGGACTCGTATGGCTTGGCCTGTTTGGCAGGCACCCTTCACGCCCTCCCGGACAACCGACATCACACCACCATGGGATGGTTTCGTGAAAATCCTTGCATCGGTCGCTGCCGTGCTATAGTCTAACTGAATGAAAAGACACGCACTCTACAGGCAGTGGAAGTGTTGTTGTGTTTTGTGATCGTGACCATGACCAATCTTTCTGCCGAAGGGACTTTCAGGAAGCCCACGATGTTCACACGCGAGCTAGATGGGACGTCAGCTGAAGTTTGCGTGGATGTTCCGCCTTCCAACTCGAAACGTTGGTGACCTCAAAGAAGAGGCAGGCAACCACGCGGGTATTTGGCGTATTTGTATCCCTTGACCACCACGCCGAAACCTCTGGAGCCTTCGCCGATACGTTCTAGGAACACGATGTACTCCACAACATCGTATGTGACCCCTGCTAGAGTAATAATTGTACGTCACCGTCGCTGTAGAGTGCGTGCGCGGCGCGTATTGGGCAAGGTGGCAAGGATTCGCCCATGCGAGGGAGTCCGTGGAAAGCACCTACCGATGGACGGGGTAAGGGTCTCGGGAGTATCGTCACTCGGGTGATCCGCGAAAAATGGTCCTCTGGCGAGGCGGACGTGGTCGTCCTGAGGCTAGTGAGTGGACTCCGCGACGGAGAGGCATCTGCCGCGCTTCGCGCTGTCGTCGACTATCATATGGTGAGCTCTAGTCGTCGCACCTACCTCATAGGCTCCGCGCCAACGGTCGTGAATGTGCCGGTTTAATGTGGCCCCGGTGCTTCGTACCTCCAACGGACCGTCGTACCTGGCGTTGAGGAGATCGCTTCGAGTGGGTACACATGCCTTCTTCAACATTGACGGTGCACGATGTAGAAACGAGTCTCTTCGTTGGTGTTTACTCCTCGGTATCGATCCATGTATCCATGCCGTACGGCGGTCTGACTGCTTCGCCGGTGTCTATCTCGTACGGGCATCCCCTGAGAGTTCGCGTCCATGTTGTCTGATAATGGCGGAAGTAATACTCATCTTCCCTCGTCACCACATGTAACAAGAATGTGTTGCTTTTCATAGCAAGGTGCGAACCCCCCCAATCTCCAACGCATCCCCGTCGCCCCGGTTCCGGGTATGCTTCTTTGTAGACCCAAGAGCGCGCGGATATCGCCAACGCCGGAGCATGCATTCGGAAAGAGATCCACTGAGCACAGATCCAGCTGTTTCGGTCGGACAACATCCTCCCGAAGCCCAAGGAAAGGAGCTCTCCAACGCTGTCGAACGGCTGCACGTGTGAAGACTGCGATGGGTTCAGACAGGCTCCGCGGAGGCGGGTTGGAAGCGGCCGGTCTGAAGGAATGCGCGGGCCCATGGACGGCGCAAGGCTGCGTGTTTGCATAGGTGTTTTAGTTCGACGGGTCATTGACGTCGCCCTCCGGTATGCTGCTGCAGGCCGCGTCTCCAGAAGTGGGCGACGCTGGTGGGTTCGAGCCCGTAAAAGACAGCGTTGGTGATAGACATCGAGCCCGAGAAATCCACGAGTACGAGGTCTACGTACGTTCTAGACGTAGATCTTAAGAACATGCTTTCCCAAGAGCTCGTGTTGGGTCGCTCTAGCCCGCCGTATCTTGCGTATGGAAGGGCGGGGTGTCACCACCAGCCTTGCGAGGAGTTCGGAGATAGCGATGGCCACACGTCGCCCAGAACATGAAAAATGAGCTTGCACGCTCACCAGCTAATGGCCCTCTGTAGTCTGCACACGACAGGAAGGAACTGCTACACAACAACAGCAAGGGGAGATGCCGTTGTGATCTTGCTTGGTGTTGCTTTGTCGTTGCAACATCGTAGTATGTGTCGGCAAGTGATGATGTACAACAGGCCGTTGCAGTGACAAAGACGGGAAGCGGCTTCCTTCCTCTCGCCATTGCCAGTAAGGGTGGAGAGTTGACGCAATCTCGCACGCGCTTGAAGGCCCTCAAAGGAGCCCACTCTTGTTCGTTCAGTTGGCCTCCGATAGAATCGATAAGAAGGGCGTTGCTCTCTTGGCGCTATCCCAATCACGCTGTATCGATTGATCAAGGCTATGGGCGCGCGGATGTCGATTCGTGCTGTCGTACACTCAATAAAAAAATAGTAATGTCCACAACACACCAGAAATAATTAATTGCGCTTCCCGTTCATTCACGCACACAAGAAATCACCCAACTTCGGCTTTGACCACCCCATCACCACCCCGATCAGATCAACCAGCCTTCACGCAACCATTAAACCCACCCCATCAACAGCCAGTTGTGTTTCACCATACACGGCTCGCCAGCAACTAAAAACTGACCCATTCAACACAAGAAACCAACGCAAAAGGTTTTAAAATACTAAGCAAACAGCAAGTTTAACCGCGACTAAGAACGGCAGTGAGTGCGAAAGGTCGCAGATTCGACATATCATCGAACTCTTTTGTTTTCTGTGTTTCAAAACAGATGACACCCGACCTCCGTGGTACCGCTCCAATCCAGTGCACTACCAGCGCTTTTCCAACTAAATAGGGTACAGATCCGCTCATCAAACACAGCATTCAGCGGACCAAACTAGCTCGACCACACCCTCTAGCGACACCAACTCTGCGTTGACAACCCCTTCAACGACCTAGCGTTTTCGACCCAAACACTTCGAAGCGAACGCAACGTAACGTAAACCAGCATCAACTGTGCTAAACTTTTATTACTGTGTTAAATACACTTGTCTCTAGACGGCGTTCTTGCCCGCCATGTCCACATTCAATGTCAGTTGCACGTAGTACATCTATTTGTTGTGATTGGACATTCCAAACAACCAACAATTTCTTTCACGAAACACGCCGATCTCTTTGTAACATCGAGATTGCAAGGACCTGCCTCAGAAACCCCAACGACAACAAATATGCTTCTCGTCAAAGCCACCTCTTGCTGGCACGGGCAAAGGTGTGTGCCTTGGGCCCCATCTCCGGTGCGCAAGTCGTCTCGGATGTCGACGTTGAATCTAAAAATTGGAAAATTCAACACTTGAGTTTCACCCGCCACGGGGATGACACCCGACGGCGAAGCCTCTCTTCCTCCCGTATCCCGTCCCTTGTAGACCTCAGAAAAAACACCACATTTCTCGAAGTCTCAAGATGAGCACTGTCACTCCACCCGGAATATCGACAGGTTGGCGATTTCCAACCATCCATCATTGTGGGGGCGTGGCGCGAAGAGCTCTCTGGGAGTGATAGCAGACACAAAAACACCACCTCAGCCTGATGTAATCAAACGTCGAAGATACATAAGATAAGCACCACAGCTGCTACCACAACCACTACTGCATTCCACCACAACCACAGGGAATCTTGTCCTTGTACAGATCGCCGACACAAATCCAGAAGAAAAGTAATGTCCATCGAAAACACCACCGGTGTTGCTGCTGCAGCCGTCTTTGTGCTTGCAGTTGAAGAAAAGAAAGGCGTGCTGGGTGCGTGCACGCGTGGGCATGCAGGAGAATGGACGACATCGATCGTACATACAGACGTGCATACACACAGGAAACAGAAGGTTTCATGCAGCAACAAGACGAAAAGAAGACGTAGACAGACTGTCCCCATATCATGTCCGACATGCAGAAGATAACCGCCAACGTCCTTCACGGCACCATGGCTTTTACATTTCCTTCACCCCGCCACGCTCGGGGAAGTGACTTGCTTGAAACGTGCTGGTAAATCTGGTGACAGTCCGTCACAGCTGCGCGTATTGGGTTAGGGTTGGAGCTGGGGCTGCACCCTCGCGATGACAAGCCTCTAGCATTAGCACCTCCTGCGGCGTTGTTGTTGTTGCTGCTGCTGCTGCAGCTGCTGCTGCTGCTTTCGTTGAACAGAGGTGTTGATGTTGTTGCTACCACCAACCAAGGCGGATATCGCGGACGACATAGGGATCCTAGGGACCGAGCTCCGAGGGCCTGCGGACGGGAAACACCGTGGAACACAGGGCAGGTGGGAGGGGTGCGGTGAGGGAAAGACCCTGGCATCCTTGCGGAAGCCGGGATGCATCACGTCTGGAGATTGTTTGAGAGGAACCGTGTTGGGGGGGAGCACGGCACGAGGAAACCACAATCTTTACGATGTTCGACGGCGTAGCTAACTTTGGTCGTTCAAAGAGTGGGGATAACTGGTACCGGGTAGTCGGGATTTGGAGGTACATCCGAAAAGGAGGGGGGGAGGATACGCGTACGCATGCATGCGTACACCCGCGCCCACGGCGGCGGCTCATCGACGAGGCAGATAACTCCTCCTTACCAGCTGTCCAGAGGAAAGCCACCCCCGTCGGCGTCTCCGACGCTAGCATCGGCCCACAGCGGCGCCAGAGCCGATGATGCCCCCCCACTGCCGCTAGGCAGGAACATGCCTCCGTCCAAGTCGTGCCCGAGCGCAGCCGCCCCTGCCGCCGTTTCCGCCGCCACCGCCGCCGCTACGTGCGGGTCCAGAGAAGTGTCTTGCCCGCCCTGTCCGGGGGCGAAGCCGGGAGCGATCCCGTAGGGAAAACACAGCGGCGGCAGAGCGGGGGCACCGATGGCGTGGGGGAAACTACCCCCGGTAGAGGCCCCGCCGCCGTCTTCATAGCCATGGCTGGGCACGATACGACCCGGGCCTAGAGAATCCATGGCTGGTGCCCCTGCCAACTTCATCTGCCCACCAAAGAGAGCGGTAGGTGGGAGAGGGTACCGTCCTGCACCGTCGGGAGTTGTTGCCATGGCCGTTGGGGGTCGTGACAGTGGTGCCCCCCCCCCAGCAGCAGACCCGGCGCTTTCTTTTTCTTCTTCTTTTTCTTCTTCTTCTTCTTCTTCCTCCTCTTCTTCTTCCTCTTCTTCGCCACTCTCGCCGTCGTTAGCGCGATCGTTGGTGTACGGCTTAGTGGTGACGCACGGGGTGGGCGTGGGTGGAGGGGCGGCGGGTACTCATGTTTTGCATCCTTGACGGTTATAGACCATTGCCCACGTGTCCTCGGGAGGACGGAGCATTGTTCCCACAGGACAAATCACTAGTTGCCCATCGTATTCCTACGTTGCCAAAAGTGCTTCAACATGTTCCCTACCCTATCCATCCGGTCGATATAACTTCCCGCCTTTCAGTCCACTTCTTTAGCCCAGTATAGCTACCGTCTTCTCCTGGCTATTCCACACCTCAAACATCTCTGTAGCTCCCTTATGTCTTTGCCCAGCTGAGTCATTTTACATTTCTCTCTCCCTCTTCATAAACGGCATATCTGCAACTACATGAACACGGAACCGGGGGGGGGCGGGGTCATTCCTCAGTGCCACAAGTAGTAAGAAAGCAGCACCACATATGAACCCTAGCATTGCCACAGAGCAGAGAAAAAGCGTGCAACACTTCTTTGGAACGGGAGGTGTCCAACGAACAAGTATAGACCAAGAAATCGCGGTGACACCGAGAGACCTCGGGTGCAATAGCCGGTGGTGGGTCCAACAAACCAGGACAAGTGCTGTTCGGGGTAAGGCCAGTCTCTGACAGACCTCAAGGGAGAAATTGTGTGATGCTTGGCGGGACCAATTGGTCTGGTGGGATGCGTGGCATAAGCGATACCAAACACTTGTTGTCTGCCGACAAGGCTAGCCAACAACCCAAAAACATTGATTCAGTATTTCGAAACAAGGAAAGATCAAAACCGCATGTGATAGCGCCGGCCAAGTACGCACATTAGAAGGTACTGAGCGGAGCGGAACGGTTTTTAATGTGAAGACAACAACAGCAACCCAAACACACATGCATGCACACCTCTTTCGAAGAAGGTGGCACTCGGTGCCAGCCAAAATCCATTGATATAACAGCGGAATGGCTACCGAGTTTGTTATCTTGTTTTACGTTGGCACTCAAGTAAAACGTGTTTCCGAGAACTCGACACATTCAGAGAGGAGCATAGTCAAAGCATCTATTCCTGAAACATGACGCCAGTAGAACACTTATGACCGGGGTTTTCCCCCACCATCACACCTCCACCAAACATCGCACAAGCCAATTCCGCTGCAGGTGGCTGCTTCCGCAAACAACATCGTGTCTCTAGTGCACCTACGCACGTACGTAGGATTTGCGTACCTCGTCGGGAAATGGCAGCCCCTGACCGATTTTCCGAAAGTACTTCTGCGCGTGGGTGCGAACCTGGGCAGGCGACCTCGTGGTAACGACAACCTGAGATATCCACCTCCAGCTCTCCTTGTTCTTGCCTAACTGTCCCGCGACGGAGAGAAACCGCTCGTGCTCGTCCTTCGTCCAGCGGCCTTTGTTGCGGCTGAGGATGCGTGATGCAGCAAGCACACACAACGAGATTATATCAACACAATATGCTCTAGTACATACATACATGCACGTCTACAGTATGCTATGGACAATGAACGAATCTTACTAGGCACGTGCTCGCACGACGAAGAAATCGGCCATCGCCATGCAGGTATTGGACATGATACATACATGTCGAAAGCACGGGGACATGGATGGGTGGGAGACGGGAATCTCCTCTGTTGTCGGGCCTCTGTTTTGTTTTCCTCTTGCATCTGGTCGGAGGTCACGAATACATGATCGGGAATAAGTTGCCCATTCGCATTATTTATGAGTTTGTGTATGCGCGTATCTTTGTTTCTTGTAGTCCATCGAAGGTGCGTACCAGCCGCCAATAAGTAGTCTATACGTCAAACTTAGCTGTATCAGATCAGCAGCCTTCGGGAGGGTATTAGTCTCAGTATATGTCGGGGGTACGAGGTGGGGTTGGGGTTGGGGTTTAGAGTTGGGTTCTGTATTTCTTCACAACGTGCCGGGTCAACCAATATGTTTCGCTGTAAGCCACGTACATTCTTGCTCACCGAAGACTTATGGCCGGCGTTTGCACGCATGCCTTGAACCAATGTGAACATCATATGTTCTGTCGGAAAAAAAAATTAAGCTGACGCGATTCCCTCCAAGTTCCCCCAAGATCTGTATGGAGGAGGAGTAAAAGGCCGGGTTATTCCTTGAAAGATATCGCTCTTGACAATCAAACGACCGATTATGTTTTTGTTGATCATGCCAAAAAGGGCGCTGGTGGAGGGGACACTGGCATTGTAGGGTGTACTTTTGGAACAGAGGGTGGTCGCGAGATGGAATTATTAAGTAGTTTTGTTGGTCGTTCGTAGATCGATTTGCTTCTGGTTCGCGGTGACCCAGCGAGGCCAGTCACAGTCAACACACAATAATAGTCGTTTCCGGTTGAAATTTTCTTTGCGGAGCGTTGGGGGGGTGGTGGTGGATGCGGTGGTACATCTTGCTTCTTCCTGTGATAATACTACATGTAGCTCATCGCGACTGCATGGAGCTCGGTTGTATTGCAAACAGAATAATATTCACTGCGTAGAACAAATAGTGAAAATTGGTTAGAGAGAGGTGATCCCTCCAGAAACAGCAAGCAAGGTTTGACCGCATCCTCCTTCCCCCCTTCAACGTGCCGCAAAGAAAGTTGTTGTGCTACTTGTTCGTAAACATTTCTTCATTCTTCGTCTGATGACGTTATTATCCGAAAGAAAACATGAAAAATGTCCCCAAGAAGAAGAGAGCCACAACAACGGAGAGGAAAAAATAAAGTTGGTTGAAGTTGAAATAAATTAAGTCTTTCGTCTCTCTGTATGTATCTATGTGCATGTCCAGTGTAGCATAAACACTTGTTTTTTTTAGGCGAAAGACAGTCGGTCACGGTTATTCGTCCCAGAAAGAAAAGATCTTCTTTGTGCGGCACATTATGACCCCATCATATATATGTCAACGTACCCACCACAAACGAAAGGAGGATTAGTCCAAGTCAGTCGGGAGTCGTATCCAGTCTATGACACTTAAATTAAGTCTTCCAGCGTGAAGATCCGCGGTGACGCCTGCCAGGCACTACGCACCGCGCTTGCGCTGCTGCAGTACCCTTTTTTTCTCCCGCTTGCTTGTGGGGACTTCTGGGGTGATCTGACATTACTACATATATATACACTTCATGGTCTGACATACTACATACTCCACTTCGTGCGAAACCATTCAGATGAAGAAACTGGCTCTTTTCTGGGAGGACGGGGGGGCTCAAGCGGGCACAGCGGAGGGGAAGCCGCGACATCATGCTCATCAGGCAGGTTGCATGCACTTACACACACACGATGATGATGAACACACCGCTAAGAACGTTTGTTTGGTGGGTCCGGTACAATTCTTGTCATAGGGCATGCATGCGCTCGCGGCACACACACACGCGCCCACGCTCGAGATGCTTGGCAGACTCAATTTTGCGTACACGTCATCGCATGCATGCATGCGTGTGTTTTTATTATTAGCATCGACCGCGCTAACCGGCTGACCAATGATGCATGCGTGTGTGCGTCTCCCTCTGTCTGCCTGTACTGGGTGTGTGTCTGTCTCTCCTTGCTGTGCGCGTGTTTCGCGTTGCGCGTTGCGCAACTAAATGCCGCGCTAACACAACAGCGGGTTCAGACGATGACAGTGCTGCACAAAGGGCAGGCGTACTACATTGATTGCTTGTATGTCGGCCTCTCGTTGCCTGCTCTGCCGCGGGCGGGCTCGTTTCTGGCTCCACAACATGATGAAACAGATTAAGTTTGTTTGTGCGGGTTAGTTATAGGCAGAGCATTTTTTTGTCCGAACCGGGCGTGCGTGTCATTCGCGTGGCGGCGGCGAAGAGGAAGGCCAATGGCGAACTTTCGCTCAATCGCCGCCGGGACTGGTCTATCGTTGAAATATATCTATCTACCCTAAAGTAGGACGAAAAACACGCACCGTGAGAGCAGACCAGGAGCGAGAGTTATTATTATAGGGAGAGATAGGGAGAGAGAGACAGCGGGGGTTCCAACAACCGCTTCATTTCAGCGCGTTTCGCTCGGGCAGGGCATACAATACCTTGTTCTTTACTTCTTTGCTGCTGCTGATGTCTCTTCTATGTCATCCCGAAAGAAATTACAGTAGTGTAGTAGAAGTATGCTAGAAGCAAATGAGTGATTGAGTGCCCACCTGTTAGTCAGTGCTGTGAAGGAAAGTAAAGATCCACCGTTCGTTTGTACTACTCTCGCCCCCTCGCTCTCCCTGCTCTACCTGGATATCTATGTCTCTCTACACGCAAACACACGCAACATCAACCATCAACTCAGCCGGAAAAACCAATGCCCTCTCGTGCTCACCGGCCACGCATGATCGGAGCAACACAAGGAGCGTTCCTTCGCCGATTTGTTGGGTGTTGTTCCTCTTCTTTCTTTCCTTTCGGTACAAAAGCGAGCCGGCCGATCGTCCTTCTTCCTCCCGCCGAACGCGATGTTCCCTCGTGCTCGAGAACTTCAAGGTGCGTGCTACACTCTATGTACTCCTCCGTTCCTCCGTGTCGCTGGCGACAAGGCGATTGATTGCGATTGACGGGCGACGTAGCGCTCACCACCCGGATCTTTAAACTCTTCGGTAAATATCCGAAATATTCGCACCCACATTCGCGTCAGAACCAGCCTTACAGACAGGCCGACCTTGGTGAGGGCCGCATACGGACTATTCGTGGATCCTGCCTGCATCCTGGAGTCTGGTGTTGAAGTTTTACCCGACAAGCGGACGGACTCTCATTGCTTGTTTCTGTCTAGATTACATGTGGCCATCCATCCGTTGGTGTGTTCACGTCAGCAGAGCAAACAAACGGTTTGCTTCTTGTACAGTATCACCGAGCAACGTGCTAGACTCGCTTCGCACGCACAGACAGAGAGAGAGAGAAAAAGAACGTTCTTCTCCTTATCAATGGAGGGTGGGCTTCGTTGGCGGCAGTACTTTGCCGACCGCCGGTAGAATATCGCCATCTTTCTTTTGTGATAGCCCCCTACCAAGCTAGAGGGAGTCTCCCTCCCTCTCTCTCCTCTCTTCTTTCTCTCGCTCTCTTGTTCTCGAGAAGAGATGAATGATCGGCGAACAGAGGCTGTTTAATTCGTTCTTTGAACCGCACGCACGATCAGAAAAAAGGATGGTTGGTGTGACCTGTCGGTACTACTTACTGCTGCTGCTGTGTGCGGTAGATAGATGGGACCGACACGATGGATCCGGACACGATGATGAATGCTTTTTTTTCTGGACACGATGGATACTGCTGTTCCACACGAATGGAGACACGGAGACTGATCTGTAAGTTTGTACAGTCCAGTACATTCGTATTTTATCCTAATCGTAACCTTCTAGCGGGCGGGTCAGGGGTTCGAACCCGGCTCTTGTAAGCCTTTCGTCCACATCAAGCATTGTGGGCCTTTTCTCTCTTTCGTTTTTTTGTTTTTTTCCGTTCGTTCGTTCCTCCTGTTGTTGTTGTTGTTTTTGGAAAGCACCCAACTTCGTGTGTGTGCACGTTTTGAGAAAGGAAGAGAGTGCTATACCGCTGCACTCATTCTCTATTTTAAAAATCGAAGGCAAGCACCGCAAGCAGAACGGACGAACCCTTCTGCACGCGACCGCGGACTGGATGGAACTCGTACTACTCGGCAGACACGCTGTGAGAGCGCCTTTATTTGTGCGCATCTTCACCTACCTGCTTTGTTTACCTCTTTACCTCGCAAAGAATGGCACATGGTTGTCTCCTCCTTTGAACTACTCGACAAGGGGGGTGCCGGGGTACACAGGGACAACTCAAGTAGGATGCTTTGTAGAGTGTTGAGGGGTATGAGGGTAATGACAGGTCGAATCGTGGGACGATCATGCAGCGAAGTTGCGCCGCGTCTTTTTTTTTTTATTATTCTTCACTTCAAATCAGCGCTCACAGCATGCACTAGTAACTAGTAGTAGTGTCGTTTACTGCAACCAGTGGTCACACAGAAGAAGAGCTCCTCTCTACCCTCCCCTCCTGCGGTGCTTTGCCTTCAATTTTTAATGCGAGAAGAGTTCAGCACTCTCTTCCCTCTGTGTACACACGAACTAGCGCTATCTATCCACTAGAAGACCAGCCAGGAGGAGGAGGAAGGAGCGGAAGCGAGAGAAAAACTCACTTTGAAAGGAAAAAAGCTCGCTTACGCCGGGATTCGAACCCCTGACCTGACCTCTTCTAGAAGGTTTCGCGGATACCAACCAGCCAACTAGACCACCGGGGCGACCGGTCTTCTTTTACTCTTGGGTGGAAACTAACTGGAAACCGCTACGAGTACTACTCGACTACTTTCGCATTAGCCCGCTGATGAGGGGAGGCACCGGGTAACCTAGGGCTTGGTAGAAGATCTCGCTTTCCAGAGGAATATGCATGTATGTATGTATTGTAAGTAGACTATCTTGAAGAAAAACTCATTTTCGTTCCCCGTTTACCACGCTCCCGCCAGCTGTTCTCTAACGAACGCCCTCCC